TTAAGATTTCCTATAACAAAGAAATGTTTTGATAAGTTTCAATATGCTGTGAAAGGTCCACAAATATAGCACAATTCAAACAAACTCTCCAGTTTTACTTAGAATATTATAAATATTTGGCTTAGGAGCCTCACGTCCCCTGAATCTGTAGTCTAGACCAGGAGCGTCAAATCCAAACTTACTAAGGGCAATGCCCAGGGTTGTAAATAATATCAGGGGCCAGACAAAAAAAATGTTTTTACCTTGCTGCAGTACAAAGCTCGGGCCCACCATTATATGATAGTCTTGGTGTCTTGTGTGTGAGGGCACTACAAGTGTCAGCAGACCCCATTCATTAAATGACACTCTTGTATGAAATGACAATCCTGTGTATGAAGGCACTAGAAGTGTCAGCATGACAGTCCTTTTGCGAGGGCACTGTCCATTCAATGGACAGGGACTGCTGACACTTGTAGTGTCCTCACACACGACACCTGTGGGACTGAATGGACAGGGACTGCTGACACTTGTAGTGCCCTCACACACAGGGCACCAAGAATGTCATATAATGATATGACTGTCCTGGTGTCCTATGTGTGAATGCTAGTCCGCTAAAAGGAACCTCACTTTGGTAGTTTTCCCTCCACATAGTAAGATTCTAATGCTTGATGGAATTAGCAGTCATCCTTGTAATTTCGTTTTCAGAAATTGTGATTTTTTTTTTTTTTTTTTTTTTTTTTTTTTTTTTTTTTACAGATTTTCTTAAAGGGGAGGAACTTTACCCTTATCTTTAAAATAACAACAGACACATTTAGAAATGTTTAGTAAAGACAATCTACAAACTTCTAGATAATTGCAGGCATTTTATTCTTTGCATACCTCATTTCTTTTTTTCCCAGTCTTCTCACAGTGACCATTTTAACTAAAGGGCAGGTTATTCGATCTCACTTTACTTCCTGGATTACTGGCACATTTGACCATGCACATCATCTCAGGGGAGGAAAATGCCTTTCCCTGAGATCTCATGAGGTTACAGATGAGATTTTCCAGCAATTCTCTGCTGATGTAACCTTCCCAGGATGCATCACTTGGGCACAGATTACATCATTAACGCCCAAGAGGACCAGGAAGTAAATGACCTCTAAGTAAATGAAAAACATATTTGTTTAATGTAATAATGGTTTTGAATTTGCATGCAGAGCTGCAACCGGATCTGATTTTTAGTACAAGGGGGTAGAGGTCCACTTTAAGCTTATTCAGTAAACAGTGTAAAGAGCAATAAATCTGCTTGACCATTCAGTTTTTTGTTTGGTTTCTGGTTGCTCCAGTTAGTACAACATAATCCTGGTAAAACGTATTTAGATGTTTGATTTTGGTCTGTTTTGTCATTTAATGTAACAAAAATTGTCCCTAAGTGCCATTGCGCCAAAACCCCCCCAAAAAACAGCATTTTCTGATGTCAGTGCTAGTTCATTTTCCTTGGGTTTTTCAAAAAGCCTGTTTTGACTACTGAATTATATATTCTACGCCAAGCAGCTTTAAAAATTAAAACATTTATAACCATTTTCTCCCAATAGAAGGTAATGCATTTTGAGCTTTTTTTTTAAATATATAAACTGGTGCCTTGGTGTGGTGCTATGTGCTGCAGTTTGAATTTTTACAGCAAATTTATTTTAGTTTTAGTTATATTTTCAGTCTTCTGAATTGTTTTAATTGACTAAATATCATAAGATTTTAGTTGATTACATCTACTAGTCTACTAAAGTCTATTTGGTTTAGTTAGTGATTTAAGAATTTCTCTAGAATTTCCACATCTCATTATATAGTCCTGGAGTAAACATCTGGTAACCTGTTATTACTTATGGTATTAAGGTTTGCACATGCAACACAGACACAGATTTAACTGTTGTGAAATAAAACATGTCTATCTTAAAATTAGATTAAACCAAGTCTTATAAAGAAACTATAATATTGAATATTTTCAACAAAGGACCAGTAATTAGATATGCATTTATTATAACAACTTGCATATCGCATTCTTAATTCTTTCAAGCAGAAGTGCAACTGTAAAATATTAAAATGAACAACTATTGGCTCTAATGCCATTGCACATATTACCTGTCCATTCTGGATGGAACTGGAAGTCGAAAGAGATTAGTTATGATCTTGATCTCTTCCCAAAATCGTCTCTCCCGAACATTTCAGTCTGGTTTCAGTTAGCCAACTATAAAATGTCCAATATATGTCCACAATACGTTCTAGTTTGTCATCGTACCTTCGTTTATATTTAGTTTTAGTCACTTGACAAACTATGACAATAATAGTCTAAATTAAAACCGATGTGCTGATATATCATTGGCACACTGTGGACCATTCATGCAATGTACCGCTAGTCCTGTCTGCCATCCGTTGCCTACTTTGTTTCTTTTTTGCTGTTGACGCATGCATTTGAATGTGATTGTATTTTGAAAATCTTGATGAATTACGAAAAATCTATTTTTATTAGCTGCTTGTTTCTTGAAGAGACAAGCCCTATTCTGGAGCAAAACACAAAGGAATGTGCTCAGTGTAATCGTATTGATCACTGTGCTTCAGTCAAGGCAGAGAAGGAATGTACTTTCTAGTCAGCATTTAAAACAGGAAATATATATTTTTTGTTCCTTAGGGAGAGGAGCATGGAATTTAGATGCCTCTGCAGCATTTACAGAGTTCACACACACCACAAACATATTTACTGACCTAGCATAAAGATCATGTTTGCTTGGAAGGATACTCGGTTTCCTATTCTTAGTACTTGAATAATTCTGATTATTCTACTATGCCTTATTTGATAGAGCTAGAACAATTTTGCCTGGAATATTGGTCCACAAATTATTATTCAGGATTTATAACGCCAACAGTTTGGCAGCGCTTTACAATATAAGGGAGACACAATACAAGACAAGATGGTAAGGAGGGCCCTGCCCGTGAGAGTTTACAATCTAAATGTGAGGGGCAAGTGATGCATGAGGTAGCTATGTGGGGATGAATTGTTTGAGAAAGTGATAGTTCATGGTTAGTTTGAGGTGGGATAGGCTTCCCTGAAAAGATCAGTCTTTAGGGATCGCCTTAAGGCAGTCAGAGTAGAAGATAAATGGACAGGTTGGGGTAAGGAGTTCCAGAAGATGTGAGACTCTAGAGAAGTCATGGAGGCGAGCATGGGAGGAGTTGACGAGGGAGCTGAAACACGGGAGGTCTTTGGAAGCGCGGAGGGGACTTTGAGACAAGGTTTGAGATATATCCGGGGGCTGAGTTGTTGATGATGGATCTGTAAGTCATTGTTAGTATTTTGAATTTTATCCTTTGGGCGAGTAGAAGCCAGTGTATGGATTGACAGAGGGGGGTTGCAGACACTGAACGGTTGGTTAGGTGAATTACTCTAGCAGCTGCATTCATGATGGACTGAAGGGGGGATAGCCTGTGTAGAGGTAGGCCAATGAGGAGGGAGTTGCAATAGTCAAGACGAGAGATAACAAGTGAGTGAATTAGTAATTTTGCGGTTTCATTGGTGAGGAAGGGGCGTATTTTGGAGATGTTACGAAGGTGAAGGTGGTAGGATTTGGATAGTGAATAGATGTGGGGAAGAAAGGTGAGGTCTGAGTCAAGGATGACACCTAGCACCTTGGCATGGGGGGAGGGCTGGATAGTTGTGTTTACAATCTCAAGGGAAGAGTTGGGGGAAGATGCACCGGCAGGAGGAAATATCATGAGCTCAGTTTTTGGAAGGTTGAGTTTGAAGACGTTTTGTGACATCCAGACTTTCAGTTAGTAGATTAGTGACACGCAAGGACACTGAGTGGGTGAGTTGTCGAGTGGAAAGATAAACTTGAGTGTCATCGACATAGAGATGGTATTGGAAGCCATGTGACATTAACTGACCAAGGGAGGTGTAGATGGAGAAGTTAAGGGTTTCAAGGACAGAGCCTAAGGGGGACCCCTACAGAAAGAGGGGAGGAGTTAGAATTCTAGGTGACGCTAAAGGAGCGCTTGGGTAGGAAGAGAACCGTGAGAGAGCAAAGTCTTGTAGGCCAAGCGAGGGTCAAGTTTTTTAGGAGCGGCATGTGATAAACAAGTGTCAAGTGTCAAAATCAGCAGAAAGGTCTAATAGCAAGAGTAAGGAGAAGTGGCCATTGTTTTTAGCAGTTAGTAATTTATTAATGCGTTTCGCAAGATCCTGATGTGCAAACAGGTAAAGAGTCACTCCAAAAAGCTGCCGTTCTTGTATACTGTACGTCCTGTTCCTGAAGTAGTTATACCAAGAGCATGGCTGCTACTGCAGCCTTGCTCTTGGTATTGTTTTTTTGTTTTCAGCAGGCAATTCTCTTTTTACAAGTGATCTGTGCAGCTGTTTAGCCACCCAAATCACCTGTACAAGTCTGCATAGGTGGCAACCACCCAACCTGCTGCTGTGGTTTTCAGGGTCCTCCCACTCCTCTGGGACCACAGGAATTCGTGTCAGGATGGAGAGGGAAAGTAGACGGGGAAATGTTCGTTTCCCGATCTGCTCTGTGATCAGTGACTCAGGAAGTGCTGTGCGCAAAGCCGGATGAAGTGCCGGTTAGACGAGATTGGGTACAATGCTGTGCTTGATCCTCTATATTGGAGGCCAGAGCAGTTGATGTCTCCATAAAGAGATCATGTCGCCTCCAAAAGCTACAAGCCCCTATGTGATGGCAATAAAGTGATGTAAAAAAAAAAACAAATTTAAACCGTGACAAAAAAAGTAAAATAGGGTCACACATTTTGGGTATCGCTGATAATGTCTAAGAGCAATAGTTCTAGGTCCAAAATTTGCTGTTCGCTCTAAACTGATGAGCAATAAAGGCTTTTAAAGCATTACCTATATGGACAATCTTGAGTACCATTTGTTTTTTGCCATTGCATAGGCACACACAGTTGTTGCACTTGACATGTTTGGTATCTATTTACTCGATGTAACCATCTTTTATATTTTGCTAAGAAGATAAACTGTTTCTGTGCACTACAATTCATTTAAAGCAGATTTATGGGGTGAGTGAAAAACATTCATCCCCATAATTTAAGCCGTCCTGTGACATTGAAGCTATATACCTCCCAAATATAGGGGAAGAGGGAGAAGTCAATCTTCACTCACAGATGGGAATAGCTGGGAGAGAGGGCAATGTAGTCGTGATGGGTGACTTCAATTACCCAGACATAAATTGGGCCAATGGAACTTCGGGTTCGGCAAAGGCGGGGCGATATCTAAACATGTTGCGCGACAATTTAATGGACCAGATGGTGGAGACTCCTACAAGAAAAAATGCCATCTTAGATCTAATTGTCACTAATAATGCAGAGTTAATCGAGGATATTGTAATTGGGGAAGGTCGGCTCTGTTGATCGGGAAGTCAACGAACACATACCGGCGTTCACTGACTTCCCGATCATTTCCCTGCAGAGAGTGGTGTCAGTCGCTGCTCCCTGCAGGAATTCCCTTCTCCGATCCTCCAGCGCTGACTGGAGGACCGGACAGGGAAGGGGGCAGGCATAGCTGGCTCTGCCTATAGATAGGCAGAGCCTGCTGTTAGTCAGCCCACAGGGATGCGTCCTGGCTGCGGTGATCTCAGTATATAGTGGGTAATAGCTTGCTCTACACTGAGCTTTGTGTCACGGGAGGTGGTTAGTATATTTCCTCCCCTGACCTTGAAAAGAACTATGGGGGGTAAAAAAAAGCTTACCCCATAGTTCGTGTTTTTTGTTTTTTTTCCCTCTAAAAATATTGGTTTTGATAAACCTTTGTGCAATAATTCAACATAATAATGCAGCTACCATTTTTTTTTATTCTCCAGGGCCTCTGCTTTCAGAAAATATATACTTGTTTGGGGTTTTAAAGTAACTTTCTTTCCCAAAATCCAGATTGTCGTTAATGTGTGGAAAAATTACAAAATTGCTTCGGTAATAAGGTGGTTAAAAGGCTTCCAACTGTGGTTGCAGCCAAACGTCAGCATTTTTTTTTAAGCTAGTAGTAAAGTTATAAATCCAGTTGCTAACGTTTTTATACAAGCTTTAATATATTGTATTTTGAAAAGTAATTTTCATTGTACTGCCTTGTGGTGATCCTGCTGTTAAGGTCCCTGTCCAGGGATTTCCTGTTGTGGTGTGACCACGCTCTATCCCTTGTTCTGCCTGATGAAGAGGATCCTGCAAGACCCGGAAACGTTGCATTTAGTGTATCACGTTATGGTGAACTTACGTCAAAAAGACGTATTTGACTTGCTCTTGGAGTTCCAGGGTCTGTATATATTTAGTTTGATATTGACCACGATTGCCAACCGTCGACAGCTGCAACACCCACCCTCATTATCTTTGTAACAGTGGTTTCGAGTGCGATGGGTTCATGGACTTTATGCTCTATCCCTGTCTCCCATATTTTGTCCCAGTGTAAATACACTCCTGTTCTACACACACCTGAGTGGCCATACTAATGTTGTGCAGGCATGTTTCGCTATTACCACTAACATTGAGAAGTCTAAACTGAGCAGTAACGTGCAGCCACACCTATAGTATATGTATATAAGCCAGATGTTACTGCAAACAGATTGCAGTCCTGGGATGCAAAAAAAGATTAAAAGTTAACGTTTTAAATCCATTGTAATATTAGATTGTAACATTACAGTGTCTATTTATAAACCATTTTCAAAGCTGTTCGTTCTGGGGAATGTCGAACGCAGGCAACAACATTTATTTGTACTCTTTTCAGGCTAAATGTAACATTGGGAAAATACCACATTGTAGTAGCTATATGGTGCTGAGTAGCATAGGAAATAAATACTGGTCTTCAACTTCATTTAGTGGGTCCGGTAGAAGTTTAGTATTTTTTTTAAAATTACATTGAACCTGAAAAGAAAATATACTAAAGGTGCCCATACACCTGCCGATTATCGTACGATAATCGCGGGATAATCGGCAGGTGTATGGAAGGTGTGCGACCGTTTCTACTGTGCGGTCGCATGTCTTTTGTCTTACGAGCAGGTCTGTGGCCTGCTCGTAAGACAAATGCCGCACGGGCCGGTGGACTCAAGCACATACTGCCTGTTCAGCATTGCAATCATCGGCAAGCCTTCCCTCAACGGGGCGGGCTTGCGATGATTGCAAGTACAATCTGCCTGTCCAAGATGGGCAGATCGTAAGTTTTTTAATTACCTTACAACCATCGCAAGACAAAAGTCTTGCGATGGTTGTAAGGTAATTAAAAAACGTACGATCTGTCTTGCGATGGTTGTAGGGTGTATGGGCACCTTTTTAGAGGGGGATGTATCAAAACTGGAGCAGACAGACTCTGGAGCAGCTGTGCGCGATGACCAATCAGCTTCTATCTTTTTTTCAAGCTTCACTGAACAAACTGAAGATAGAAGCTGATTGGTTGCTTTGGGCAACTGCTCCAGATTCTGTTTGCATCGGTTTTGATACAGAATGTAAGAATGTTGGTATTTGCCTCTATTCGCAAATCCATGAATGTTCGGAGATTCACAGTGCAAATGGCTCTGCGAATTGTTTATAAATAGACCTCTACATGTGGAAAAGTCAAAGGAGGTGACTGTATTTAAGTCACTGTTTGTATAGAGTTCAGAATGTGTAATATGTACATACATTTACCTAAAACTAGGCATAACTCCAAGACATCTTGAATGCAGGCTGCACACTTTGAACAGTGGTGCATGATCAAGCCGCCATATTTATGCACTTTTACAACCGTCATTCTACCATGTTTGTTGATAGTGTTGGTAAACGCTTACCATTACAGTTTGATCAGTGACTGAATTCTGTTACTATGAAGAAGAGAAAACGTTAATGTGATCAAAGTACATGAAAAACCCAGACTCATACTGGATATTACATGCTTTTAAATGTATTGCTTGATATTGTTCTGAACGTCGGTATTTGCTTGTACATTTTTGGTCCGTACATTGTAAAAGGAATAATGAACTATTCATTTGATGTGCACTTCTACAATATCAAAACAGAGCCAATGGTATTTTGTATGTGGGTTTTATATAATATTCAGTTGTTGAAATGGAAAGAGCCTAGAAATTGTTAAGTCTTCCTACACTTGACCGCCTTCCATTTCTATGGCTTCTGCATGCCTGCTTGTTAACCCTAGCCTGGGATACTTATTGTATTTCTACTGGCTGAAATGGCCCCACGCCACAGAACACAATTCTGATTTGTGAGTTCTTTTCATGGTGTACACAGGCTTAGATTGGCTATCTGGTTTCTTTTGCAAGTTCCTGAAGGTCTAGGCTTTGAAGTACACATAGGAGCTTGAGGGAATGACTTTGGGTCTATAGGGAACAGTTCATTTGTTTTCAAAAACTCATATTCACTGGTGTATTTAAAAGTAGAACATCAAATTCTGCCAAAAAAGCAATTTACGTTTTCTTGACCATGTTCTAAAGAAATGGAAATATGTTGTAGACACCCATGGCAAACCTGACTACAAAATGATTAGCTGCAAGGGTTGATTGCTTGTTTTGCCTAGGGGATGATGACAAAGTTGATGTACTTATGCTATTCCTCAATACGGCAGACTTCCTCCTCTTTGTGCAACCAGTCCCTCGAAGCCACTCCTTGCAGATCTCTGATGTCAGCCCATACAATGCGGGACCAGCAGACCTGTGTGTTTATTGCCAGGCCTTTGGGAGAGGATGGGCTTAGACACACATTTTGAAATGGTGTCGTATACTGCACTGATCATTCTTTTTAAAAGAAGGGGAGATCACAGTTATTGACTCAATCAGTTTCTTGGTTTTTAATTAGCCAGCTAGTTATTTGTGGGTATTTTTTTTTCTACAATTCTATTTATGAGATGTTATGCATTCTGTGGCTGATCAGAATCTGTTGTATGCTTCTTACTTTAGTGTCCTAGAAACCTGTCTGCTTATGGCCTTTTGTGTTTTTAAACAGCATGGGTAACATGTCTGTGAAGGTTCTTGGCATGGGTAACGGATTTGCACTCCTGTATATATAATGTAAATAGTCTGCCTGGTATTCCTTTACTGCAACATTTGGAGAGACATTGTCATTGCTGATTTGTCAATAGTCGCATTGGTTTATTTTGCGTTTTTTTTTCTTTTTTCTGTATAGACTATTAACTCAGCTGTTGCCCAACTTTTCGTCTCGGATCGTAATTCCACATGGGCAAAGAAATGTTGTGGAGTAGTATGCCTGGTGAAAGACAATCCACAGAGATCCTATTTCATTAGAGTATATGACATAAAGGTAAGATGCTTTTGGATGTTCTGTAACCAGTGATACATTGTACTATTGTTAATGCACTGAGTTTTGATTTGCATGTGCCAGGAATAGGCCAACTTAAGCATTTCAGCTGAATTCTTCAGCTTAGTCAGAGGATTGTCTGCCCACTGCATAGCCTTTAAAATATGTTGGCAGTACAAAAAGACATTGGAGCTTATTTCCATGTGCAAGCTGTTTTGTTGTAGAAAAGTACTGAAGGAGCAGCAATACTTGGTAACGTTTAGTAAACCCAATAGTCGCCAATCTTTGCAGTTTACTGAAATCAGATCTGTGAAAGGTGAGTTTTGGTTGCCGTGGGTTACTTAACTTTACGTACATCACAGGAAAAAGTGAGTGCACCCTCTGACTTCTGTGTTTTACTTATCTTTTATATTTTGCTTAAAAAAAAGATATTAAACTGTTTCTGTGCACTACAATTCATTTAAAGCAGAATTATGGGGTGAGTGAAAAACATTCATCCCCATAATTTAAGCCGTCCTGTGACACTGAAGCTGTCACAGGTCGGCTCTGTTGATCGGGAAGTCAGCGAACACATACCGGCGTTCACTGACTTCCCGATCATCTTCCTGCAGAGAGTGGTGTCAGTCGCTGCTCCCTGCAGGGATTCCCTTCTCCGATCCCCCAGCATTAGGTAGAGCCTCAGATGAACGGCAACACATGAATTATTACACTGTGTAATTTATTTTACAAACCTAAAGTCAAAATGGAGAAGCTATGTGTGGAAAAACTAAGTACACCCTTGCTGCTTCCATAGGAATTAAAGAGGCTAAGTAGCAGCCAAATGCTCTTGATTAATTGATAATCAGCAAGTGTGACCACCTCTATAAAAAACATTCATGTGTGTTGGCACAATGTCTAGGAGGCAAGACATCAGAAATTATCTTGGAGAAGCAATTGTTGCTACCCATCAATCTTGGAAGGATTGTAAGGCCATTACCAAACAAGTTAAAGTACATCATCCTACAGTGAGTAAAATGTATTCAGAAGTGGAAAACATTCAAGACAGTTGCCACTCTTCCCATGAGTGGATATCCCATCAAATTCACCCCAAATCAGACCATGCAACGCTCGGAGACCTTGCAAAAAACCCAAGAGTTACATCTCGGACTCTACAAGCCTCAGCATGTTAATGACTGTACAATAGAAAAAGACTAAACAAGTGTGATTTGTTTGGAATGGTTGCCAGGAGAAAGCCTCTCCGATTTAAAAAGAACATGGCAGAGCGGCTTATGTTTGCAAAGTTGCATCTGAACAAATGACAAACCTTCAGAAACAATGTTCATTGTGGAGATGTTTGGCCATAATGCACAGTGCCACGTTTGGCAAAAACCAAACACCGCATATCAGCACAAACGCCTCATGCCAACTGTCAAGCACGGTGGTGAAGGCGTGATGACGTTGGCTTGTTTGGCAGCCACAGGCCCTGGGCAGCTTGCAGTCATTGAGTTAGCCATGAACTCATCTGTATACCAAAGTATTCTAGAGTCAACTGTGAGGCCATCTGTCTGACAGCTAAAGTTTGGCTGAAATTGGGTCATGCAAGAGGACAATGATCCCACGCACACCAGCAAATCTGCAACAGAATGGCTGAAAAAGAAATGAATCAAGCTGTTGCAATGGCCCAGTCAAAGTCCAGACCTCAACCTGATTGAAATGCTGTGGCTGGACCTTAAGAGAGCTGTGCATAAACAAATGCCGACACGCAACATTGTAAAGAATGGGCCAAAATATCTTCAACGATGTGAGCGACTGATGGTCATAAAGAAAACAACTACTTCAAGTTATTATTGCTGCTAAAGGGTGGTTCTACAAGCTATTGAATCATAAGGTGGACTTCGTTTTTTCACACATGGCCTCTTCATTTTGACTTTGTAAAATAAATGACAGGGTGTAATATGTTGTGGTGTTGATCTGAGGTTTTATTTACCTATTTCTAAGACCTGCTAAGGACCAGAAGATTTTTATAATGTCCTGATATTTAAAACCATAGAATTTAAAGAGGGTGTACTTTCTTTTTCACACAAAGTATCTTCATCGGTGTTAAGTTATCTTAAAATCATTCCTCATGCCTGAGAGATGTGTATAAAATGTTGTCTGCCTTTTTTTTTTTTTTTGAAAACCTGTTTGCCCAATTTATCTCTATTTTACCCCTAACTGGAATTAGACTTGGTGCAAGACAAAAAGCTAATAGTCATATAGACGCATGCAAATTGGCTAATTTGTGTGGTTATTGCAGTTGGTTCTTTAAGCAGTTTGGCAACATGCAAACTGTTAGGACACCTGTGAAATAGGGCAGTGATTATCAGAGATGAGTAGATTAGTGTATGGATAATCTGATTTGATGATGAAGCTGACAGCCATGAATATCATATGGATTTATGTATGACAATCTGCTCATCATTATGCATGCCTTTCATTTTTGAAGGATTTCAACCATTGGGATGGTTCCACTTATCAATAAAATGACTATGTTTGCCACATCTGGCACCATGGAATTGCTAGATGCTAGAATATTGTTTGTTTAAAAAAAAAAATGTTTTTTTGTGTCCTCCTAGGATGGTCGGCAACTCTATGAACAGGAGCTTTATTATCATTTTGTATATAATAGCCCACGATCCTATTTCCATACATTTGCTGGTGAGGTAAGTATGGAAGCTGAGAAGCACTGAAGATATGTCATAATCACACTTTTTTTTATATATCTATCTATATCTCGCCAAAGTAGCTATACAGACACCAACGGGTATTGCAGCTGGGATAAGTCAAAACGTCAGCGATTTATTTTCAGTGCTGATGGTTTGACTTACCTCTGCTGCAAGACCTGTGAGCGCCTCTATATCTACTTTGGATTTCTATGGATGACGGCCATTTACCTCCCGGGTTATTGTGGCTTACCCGGGGCGATCTGTTTATTGATGGATATGGTGCTGACAATTTATGCAGAGCTTTTCAATATATTAATTATACTATACATCCATACTTGGCAGGTGATGGGTAAACATTTCACTTTTTTTTTTAACCGGCTCTATTGCTTATGCTATTGTTAGAAAGCATATAGTAAGCTTACGCCAAAAAAATTACTACATTCCAACAATTACTTTTATTGGCTGCTAGAAAAAGATAATTGTCAAGGAAACTATACACAATTCAGGTGTGTCTCAGGAATTCAGACTTTCCAGTGAAACAAGCAAGGACTCTGATGGAACCCAGGACTAGCTGCCTAGGAACGTTATTTGTTGATTCCTTTTGAAAATATTTTGCTCTGGGGATGACTTGAAAAGTCAACTGACATTGAACATTTTTAAATAAATTATGCAGGATATGTGTGCTTTCCGGAAGGATTCCTGCAAAGGGAGTTAGAAGGTAAACAAAAGTGCATTCACCCTAGTCATTTTCTAACAGAGCAATGGAGAGGAGAACATTTTACTCGGGATGGAATAACAATTGTGGGAACTCGGGCCTCGGGCCTAAGGCTTGGTATTTTTTGGGGTGGAAGTTGTGTGATTTATACTGAAAACCTCTGAGCCTAGCCAATAATTCAAAGGTCTAACCTTTTTTTAATATACACTTGTACAAACCATATAATGATAATACGCCACATTGTGCCTAAACCAATGTTGATCAACTTAATTGATATGGTTTCCTAAATTTAGGTTTCCTAAATTTGTATTGTGTTAACGCCTAGTAAAACATGTCTGTGTGTTGCCACAACACATTGTAGCATGTGCACCGCTTTGTGTGCGTTGTAGTGCCATTTGTTTGGACCAACAAAATTAATGCCACTTTGGTTAGGAGACCAAAAAGGTACGGCTTGCTTGAATGTTAGGTCCTTCCATGCCTTATTTCCTCTGTAGCAGAAGTGCACTTGGTCCACCCTGTCCCAACACCTTCTGCTGCATTCTGATTGTTGAAAGAAAAATCTTAAAAAGCAAACACTTGGCAGCCCAATCCACTTCAGGAGGAGTGAACACAAATACTGAGAAGATACTTTTTGGTGAAAGTTTTTACTAGTGTCTGGCTTTTTTTTTTTTTTTTTGTGAAAAACGAGTTCTGTTCTGATCTGGAGGAAAATGTTGTAGTGACCTTTAGTTATTTTATATGAGGGAGCATTTTTTTAAACCGGGTTTTATCTTTATTCAAATACTGAGCTTTGCTGCAAAAATAAGGTAAATATCTAGGTATGTTTGCACTTGATCATATGCATTATTGTGTTTTTCCTGTTGTAGACATGTCAAATTGGTCTCAATTTTGCAAGTGAAGAAGAAGCAAGAAGATTCAGAAAATCAGTAACTGACTTACTTTTGAGAAGACCTAAAAAACCCGGTATGTGTGACGGTTTAAAGTGTATCTCTAGGCAAATTTTATTTTGTAAGATTTGGTTAAGTGGGGAAGGGCTAGACCCACACATTTATATTGTGACCCCACGAGGGAGATTCCCCACTCATGACAAAATGACAATCCTAATATTTACAGTTGTACTCAAGAACAAAAGGTACAGGAAAATATTTGAGTACAACTTTTCTGGGGACAACCCCTCACTTTCCTCTAACTTCATGTTGTGTCTCGGGGACAGAAAGTGAGGGAAATGTCCCAAATGGTAAACAAACAAAAAAAAAACTGGGTTTTAACCATTCCCCACTCTATTCAAAAATAAAAGTAAAGGTTTTGTACATTTTGAAAGCCCAAAACATGTCCTATGTGTGTATTAAAAATAAAGGCAAACTATGTATTGGGGTTGTGACGGACCCCCGTACTCAGGATGAGTATGTCCGCCGCTGTCTTCTTCCTTGCTGAGGAGATATTGGAACCTGAAGATCCTTAGCTCCCAGTTTCCCCAGTCACTAGCCAAGGCTCAGTGTAGGGTAAACAAACTCTGATTTATTGAGCAACTGCACAAACTTTTATACAGAAAGTGATGAAATCAGAATATAATCCCATCACATCCTCCTCCCAGACCATCGGTCTGCTCAACACCACAGGTGTCCACCTGCTAACGAGCTCCAGACAGCCATAGCAGCAGCTTGGCCAGAATGTCATTGTTCTGAGCTCCCTCAGAGTACAATGGGAGATAACGAGGGGGGATGGGGGGGGAGATAACGAGGGATGGTGCTGATAGTCTTTCCATAACCAAGTCACACAGCATAACGCACTCAAACATAACTCAACACCAATACACATTTAACTTATAAACTGATCACCATTTCGTCACAGGGGGTGTGGTCAACATTTGCATTTACACAAAAAACAAATCACCGATTACTAGGGAGACTGGCCCATCCCATCCTGGCGTTGGTGCCTGGTCCCTGGTTTGGCTCTCCAAAACTCAAACGAATAAGGCCCGGTTCACACCTGAGCGTTTTACCGCGTGTTCCTACGCTCAGTAAAACGCGCAACAGGTGAAAACCCATATTTGCCTATGGGCATGGTTCTCACCTGCACGTTTTACCGCGCGTATGATTGCCCAAAGTACAGGAGCTTCTTTGGGGCGTATTAACGCTGTATCCATCAGGATACAGCCGGATACCCCCTCGGAAACTCGTGTTTGCCGCGTGTTTCTTTTACCGCAAATCGCGGTAAGAAACGCGCGGCAAACGCGAGTTTCCAATACGCTAAGGTGTGAACCCAGCGTTAGATGCAAGGTCTGCTTTAAGTCAGAATGACTGTTCAAGAAAGAACCATTCAATCTTATCCCAGGCAGCATTCTTTCAAGATAAGCTACCTGTACTTTTGAACACATCTTCAGTGGTAAACATATCCTCCATATTATTTTGTTCTGGTTTTGAAAAAGACTGGTTTAGCACTTTAACCTGGCATGGACACAAACCAACAAACTAATACAACTGTAAGAGCAGGCATTAATACATTTTAGTTCTACTGCTCTCCCAATGTACTAAGGTAGGTTCTGAACATAGGGGCACAGTTAGGGCCTGCCATCTGCCCACCATGATGCCTAAAATTTTAGGAAAATGGGACTTTACTGCCTGTGTTTATGAAGAGGGCACATATGTTACCCTAATGTGATATTGAAATATTTAATTAAGGTGTCCATTAAAGATCCAGTGGAAGCCATCTTGCGTTCTGGGGTGGGAGGGGGCGTGCCGATGCCATTCAACTGTGTCGCTTGAATGCCACTAACTGTACCAGAACGCACTGGAGATGGTGTGAACTGGCCCTAAGGCCCGTTTACACCAGGGCATTTCGGCTCACGTTTTTTTCCGTGCTAAAATGCATACAAATTAAAACCCCATGTTATTCCTTTGGGGCCGTTCACTCAAACGTGCTGAATCGTGTGTCAAAATACGCCTGTTTGAAATAGTCCTGAGCTTTTGTGGCACTTAGCTCGTTTTGCTCCACAGACTTCAATGAAATGCGCGATTTTGCGTGTTTGTACGTGTTTTTTAAGCACGTTTTTCCAGCTGAGACTGCTTTTCATTGGACAACTGAAAACGAGCTGAAAATGCGTCTTAAAACTATTCCATATAAACACAAAACGCACATTAAAAAACGCACAAATACACGTTAAAACGCTGTCGCCCCCTGGTGTGAATGGGGGTCTAAAGCCTGTGAAGCCCGTGTGTCTAGCAATATCCTCTCCCGCGCTCAGTTAGGCGAGATGAAAAATCTCCTCTAGCCAATCAGCTCACACGTACGATTCCGCGTGTTAAGACTTGGGATTCATGCGTCCGGTGAAAGGAGTCCAGGAGTGAAGTCCACCTGGTAATGTTTTCCTTCCTGCACAGGTTCTATATGTGACACATGTCAGGGATGAGAGCTATGCAGAAAGAATTAATATATGTCCATTAAATAATATTTCATAATTCATTGAATAACTAAGAATAGTTTATTACATAATTTTATTAAATAATCATTAAATTTTTTTAATACATTTAAAAAAAAAGCTAACTAATTGATTATGAAAATAATCGTTAGTTGCAGTCCTTGTTTCATGTGACAAGTTTAAAACGGACATTTCAGTAACTTTTACAAAGTTATCTTTTCTTTATATTTTGCCTATTAACCTTTTCACTGTCAGAGCATGGTATGATATGCACATTTTAGGCCTGAAGTTTACCTAAACCCCCAAACATTGTATATTTTCTTAAAGCGACCCTAGACCAGGGGTGTCAAACTCAATTTAATCGTGGGCCGCATAAACATTATGGTTGCCCTCAAAGGGCCTGTAAGACTATATAAATGTATCTAATCTTTATCATAATTGCCTCTGCATTCGATTATCACTGGTTTTAGTAATAACTTAATACCTAGATCTGAAAGTAGAAGTCTAGGAAATGGCCTGGTGGGCCGGATTCAGCCCCTGTTCCTTGAGTTTGGCACATGTGCCTTAGACAAATAAAATGCTGTTACAATTTTTTTTGTCGCATATTCGTGAAATTATTTCACACCCATATTTTCAGTTAAAAAAAAATGCTAAACTTATAGTGCACACTAACATTTGTGTAAACAGCCAAAAACTACACTGCCACTAAAATGTACATGGTTGTTTCTGAGTCAGCATCTCAGTCCAGGAACTATATGCTGACCCCAGATCATGCCTGCACAATAGTGTCAATCAAAAATGATGTCAGGTCCACTTTAACTTTTAGCTACCCAAATAAGATTTTTTTTTTTTGGCTTGAATCATTCTCATTCGTTTCGGATCGGTAAAGCTGAACTCCCAGGTATAAAGTATTATGCATACTTAAACCGAGCGGCCAGATTATTATGACCACCCAATCAGTACTTTGTTGGGCCACGAAATGACTTCGTTGGGCCGCCTCGTGACTCCACGAGATGTTGAAAGGTGATGCGAGGAATCTGACACTGCACTGTTGCCCTTCTGTTGTCTTGTACCAGTCTTGCCACTCTCCGTTCTGCCCTAACATTGACTAGTCGCTGACGGCCACAATTCGCACAATCAGACCCAGATTTTCAGCTGACAGTCCAGTCTTTAAACACTTTAACAATGAGCCCCTCTTGAACATTTAACGAATTCTGCTGTTTTGCTGATACTCGCTCCATGGCTCGCGCCAACAATCATCCCACGTTCAAATGCTTCAGAAAAAAATCACTTCTACTGTCGTGGTAAACAACCTGCTTCCCTATTTATAATACAGTAATACCTTGGTTTACAAGCATAATTCGTTCCAGAAGCATGCTTGTAATCCAAAGCACTTGTATATCAAAGCGAACTTCCCCATAGGATATAATGGAAATTCAGATGATTCGTTCCACAACCCAAAAATATTCATATAAAAATAATTACAATACAGTACTGTACTATAATATAACACAAAATATAAAGACAAATAAACCAATTACAGGTACCTTCGTGGCTGGGGTGAGGGGGACAAGAGAGAGGAGCATTATTGTGTAGGACGACTTTCACTATCTAACGGAATCACTGCTATCTCTTGGCTCAACTGAATCTTTTTCATTTCGTGAAACCTTAACAAGGAATCTATCCAATGTGACATTGCATTGTCATTAAACAGACTCATCGCTCGCACTGCTACAGCCTTATTCGGGTGGTGTTTTACTAAAAAATGTTGCTCTTATTGCAAGACATTGCTTGTATATCAAGGCAAAATTTTTCAGAAATCTTTGCTTGTCTTGCAAAACACTCTCAAACCAAGTTACTTGTAAACCAAGGTATTACTGTATAGCTAATTTGCCTACAAACATCAGGTGGTCATAATAAACTGGCCACTCGGTGTATATTGCTTCAGCTTGGGCCAATGTAACTATGCATATGATATGACTGGGCAGCCGACTGGGATTTTGTAAAGCATTGTAGTAGCAGTAGCTACTACAGTTCTTTACCGCAACCCACCAGGTCCTCCCGGGTTCTCCTCTGCTCTGAAAATGCAAGGGGTTGTTTGCTTGGTGCAGTGGCCAATGCCTAGTATTTTTTACCAATGAGTACAAGACATTCTGTGATTTTGTTGAGGTGTGACCAGGTATATCATATGCTTTATTACACTTGGAGCAAGCTGGACCAATGTAAGTATGCATTTTATAGCTTGAGTTCAGCTTTAAGGTACAACTTTTACCAAAGACATTACAGCACAGTGCCCCTGCAGTGAACCAGAAACCTTTCCCAAAGATCACAATAGTGGTTTTCTTAATAAAAATGATTTTGTTTGTGTTGCTCTTAATAATCACAGTAAAGGTGGATCTGTTTTTCCTTTTTTGCAGATAAAAAGCGAGATCCTCTAAATGGTAAGCAAGTTTGAATGTAGTGAATCTCTTATAGTTTACATGAAAATCTAAGGTCATATAGTTTCCAGTTTACAAACAGTACCTTGCAAAACTGTGACCCCCCCCTTAGTGTTTTTCCTGTTTTGTTGCATACGAACCTGGATTGACAATTGATTTTAGGGGGATGCTTACAATGATATGTACACTTTGTAGGTGCAAAATGTTATTATGACACAACCAATCATTTAGAAAAAAAAATATTGACTGTGCATAAGTATTTACCCCCTTTGCTGGGAAACACCTAAATAACATGTATGACAACCAGTTGGCTTCAGAAGTCCTGTAATAAGTTAAAAAAGGTCCACCTGTGTGACATGATTTGTCGCATGCCAGTATAAATACACCTATTCTAAAAGGCACGGAGTGTCCAATGAAGCATCATGAAGACTAAGGAGATATCCAGACAGGTCAGAGACAAAGTTGTGGAGAAGTTTAGATCGGTGTTGGCACCACTACAAACCTTACAAGAGAGGGTCATCTGCCAAAACACACAGACAAAGCAAGAAGGGCATTAATCAGAGATGCAAAAAGATATTATATATATATATATATAATTAACCTTACGCGCCCTGTAGAGGTGCCAGGAGCCACAATGTGATGTCAGTCCAGTCACCTCTACAGGGTACATGTGGGAGCTGTAGGCAATGCACGTATGGATGGAGCTCCCTTATAGCCATAATTCCAATCCACCCCTCCCCAAGCTGACATGCAGGGCTGGACAGCATATTTTGAATGGCTGTTCAGCGCGAGAACTGATGGTGCTGCACTAGGGGGAGGCTGAGGAGTGTCATCTAGAAAAGTGGAAGGCATGTGGTGACCCACTGAACATGTGGTGGCGACCCACTTTTGGGTCACGACCCACCAGTTGAGAACCAAGGTGCTAAAGGAAATGCAAAGATTCAAAGTGGTGGCGGGAGTATCTGTCCATAGGACAGCATTAAGCCACACACTCCATCGAGCGGGGCTATATGGAAGAGTGGCCAGAAAAAAACCATGACTAAAAGTAAAAATTAAGAATATACATTTGGAGTTCACTAAACAGCATGAGTCCCCAAACATATGAAATAAGGTACACTGGTTAAATGAGACTAAAATTAAGCTCCTGATAAACCAGCTTTAGCATTGTTAGTCGGTGTCCTGCTGGAAGGTGAACCTCCATTCCATCTCAAATCTCTGTCAGACTGAAACAGGCTTTCGTAAAAAAAAAAAAAAAAATTGCCCTGTATTTTTGGTCTTTTTATAAAAAAAAAAAATTGCCCTGTAATTTAGTGCTATTCATTTTGGTCATCATGGCCAACGCTGTGTGGCACAAATCCAACTCTTTCCATCACCCTGAGAACACCACCCCCACAGTGAAGCATGGTGGTGGCATCATGCTGTGGGGATGCTTTTCATCAGCAGGGACTGAAAACTGGTCAGGATTGAAGGAAAAATAAATAGCACAAAATTCATGACATTTTTTTTTTTTTTT